TTTACGTGTCTTCGATATCATCTTCTTTATACATCTGGATATTTAGCTGACTTTTCAGTCATATTACAATATAATCTTCACCGGATAATCTAAAAATAACCATACATAACTGAAAAAGCTTAGTTGAAAGCATGAGTCAATTGAAGCTAGACCACCAGGGAAAACCTGGAACCACTGGACGGCCGTTTCGTCCTATTGTGGGACTCCTCAGCAGTGTGCATCCGCGATCTCGCCTCGCGAGATTCGAACCTAGGACCTACCAGTCTCGCGCCAGAGCACTTAGCCGAGGAGTCCCACAATAGGACGAAACAGCCGTCCAGTGCTTTCAGGTTTTCCATGGTGGTCTAGCTACAATTGACTCATGCTTTAAACTATGAAAATACTAAATCTCTACAAAACCCCTTCTGAAAATACTTGGTCTGATGTATGCATGATTGACGGTAATAGAAATTACTACTTTTTATTTAAGTACTTGTTCAACAGTATCACTTCTCCCACGCTTCATTACATAAATCTTGTGGTGATAATCAGTTTTTCATTCAATGTCTCATCATATGTACTATTATATTGGTATTCAACGAAACGACTGTATCCAATTCATTCGCTAAATTCCCAATTATATCAATATACTGATATACACACTTGAAATAGGCAGATGTTCTAGGTCTTTGTATGCTCGGGCTCGTGAACACCTCCAAGTGTGGTTAAGCAAAGGTGTAGTCAAAACGGTTAACAGCTCTGTTTTAGCCCATTTAGTTCAGACGGGACATAGAGCCAACATCGAGCAATCTTTCACAATAATATATAGTGTTAACAGACGTCTACCTGATTCTGTCAGACAGAGAATCCTACAGACGGCTGAGGCAATTACTATTCGGATCAAAAAGCCAGAGCTTTGCATCCAAAAGAAATATATACAGCCGCTCCTTTTATCCTGGACAACTTCAGCGTCAACTTGTTAATAATCAGTTTTATAATATGGTGACATTAATTTAATTCATGTTCATTTTAAACTTATTTCATATACACATCTTACCAGTCAATATTATTTAGTATTGTTTGTTTTGAATCTTCCCATTGATGTTTTAAGGACTGCAACTGGTCAGTCTCTAATTGGACATATGTACATACTGTGCGTATTTCCTCGATATAGCCTTAATTCACAAGCATGATAAGCAAAGATGAATAATGGCTAGCAGTGGAATACAGTTTGACGCGCATTTCGTCCTATTTGGGACTCGTCAGATGGATGTACCTGCATCTCAGAGTTGATGTTCACTCTGGGACTATTATTATTATTATTATTATTATTATCACACTTGCTAACCTTTAAGAGAAATTTACTCAGCATCCAACCCTATTTACTATATCTGACCTAATTCATAATATTCTACATATTACGTAATTTCTGATTTGTAATCCCAATGTTCTATCTCACCCTATGTCATCCTATTACAAACACTTCGTGATTCACATGTTACAGTTTCTTAAATGATGTACTCTGCCATAAACTTGGCCAATTTTTTATGGATTATTGAAAAGAATATTCTTTGTTCATATAATTGTGATTTCGAATTTTGTTGACATTCCACATCAAGTACCTCTGATTCACACTATACACAGAATGAATCCTTGATCATGTTTGCATAGACGTTCAGCGTTAACTTGTTTCAAGCCTTTTTCATCGCTGATAACTAACATTCTCATCATTGTACATTTAATCCATCAACATAAAAGGTAAATGCCATTAGTTGTCCTTATTCCCAAGTTCAAAAAATGGAACCTACTTCGTGAAAAAATTGTTTTCAAGGTCAAATTATTGAGTTCAACATTAATTGAATGAGTGATCTTGTATATTGGAAAGGATCAATCGAAAGGGTTGCATTCATGATTGTTCTATTGTTCACACATTCATTGCAACCTTAGTCAAGTGTTGAATGATTTCAGCTCATATTATTTTTTATGATTATGACTACAATTGAAGTAATATTAGTACTCGCCTTTCGGTACTTTCTCTCAAATAATGCACGTTACGATTTCGTCATTGTATTGATTATGACGCTTGCAGATTGTAATCATCTTTTATGTACGTTTGCATTCATTGATAAGATTACTACTTATATTTGTATTAGTAGTATGAATAGTTTGTAAGAAAATAAGTGGCTGATTGAATGATTAATTGACTGATAGGATAATTTATAGACTGAGTAGACAATCATTTAAGTTTGTGAGTAGTGTCTCAGTTTGGATAGATAAGAATTGTCGGTAATTAAATGATGATATTGTCCTAAATGACAGTCTAATACTTCAAATATAACGATCTAGTTTAGAGAGAACAACATTATTAAAAATAATTCACTCTAGTAAGTTGACGTTCAGGAGGAACCATAAGAAAATTTCATAGTCATACAGTTGAGAACTGGTATAATGATACATACAAAAGAAAGGTTGAAAAGCGGTAATAAATTCAATTTACATGAGATGTTATTTTGACTTTGAAACATTGCTAGAATTTCTCAAAAGTATCATGGATACTGAACAATGATTGCGATAACCGTTACATCTACCTCCACGATATGACTTACATGACATGGATATTTTATTAACCATAACTCCTGAGCAATCATAAGTGTACGATAAATACTAGGATAAGGCTGTGAACTTGATACGATGAACAAGATAGGCTTTACTTTTTAGTGGAGTTAGCTTGAACAAGTTCGTAACTAGAAGCGGAAATACCGTCAAATGTTAAGTGCTATGTAACAGTAAACGGTGACTGTCCAGCAAAGGTATAACTCAAAAGGACATTGAACGAAGACAAATAGACATTCAGATTGGCTAAATGTAGAAATACTGTTATTCAGGTAATTTCATTTGTATCACAGATTTACATTCTTCAATCACTTTTGATTGTTCTCTGTAGGAACTCATGATATGCAGTTTAGGAAATCTAATTTTCATTGTATTTTATAGTTCTGTATTGTGCCCCCAAATGTTTTGATACGGCCGAAAGTGAGGATAGTCCGCTCTCGCTCTCCAAATGCTCTCACATGGCTACGCGTATATAGCCTCTGCCAGTGAAGTCCTACTCACTACTTTCTCGTGGCACCGGTATTGTTTACGAAATTGAGAGTACGAAAAGCGAATGCCCGGTTCTTTACCCGTGTTGGTGGACACGGCGAGTCCACATGGGAGAGTTGGAAAACCTTCATTCCAAACCAGTGATGCACATTGCTTTCAGTATCCTGAGGGAACAAATGGCGTATTAATCAATCGTCGATGGTCACCGGCTACAATGGACTGCATCTCTTTACGATGCTCCACTGCCTTGTGGATCAGATCTTTAGGTCAAAGGCTCCGGGTGTGACCCCTCAAGAAAACCATCTGCTCCAGTCTGGGCCCCGTGCAGTATCACAGCCCTGACACAAATCTCATTTGATTTGTGCGGCGCATATGTATTCGGTACCCCTTTGCACCACTATTTATGTTTTTAAATAAAATAAAATAATAAAAAGTTCTGTATTGTTGATCGCTGATCATGTTTACGCGATACAATTTAGTCTGTTGTAACGGCATTCGACGGCTTATTGATGTTTGTGCAGGAGAAGATGAAGGGCGCGTCCATTTTGTCCAATGTAGTGTTTTACACAATCGGCACAGTTTATATTGCAGATAATGTTTGCTTTTTCTTCTTTCGTCATTTTGTCTTTCGGTTTAACACAGGAGTGATTAAAATCACTTTTTTGGTTTTTGTACCACGCTTATTGCAAATGGCTTCATGAAATTCTGATATGGCTTTTATACATGGTAGAATTATCCGTTTGACGTTTTCTGTACCTGACTTCGTGTTTCGTCCAATTATGAGATATTCGCTAATCACGAATCCAAGTAGGCAAGAGAATCAAAACTCCAAATTAGATACCAAGTTTATTCGCGATACATAAATAATCGACCAAAGTCGTCCTAACAACAATAATTATAACAATTACAAAACACACCTTCAATTTTGTAGGTTCCCGGAGCAAAAACTCCCAAATACCAAACCAATGACAAAAGAAATCAAAATGTCCGAAAATAATGATATAAACAAACAAGTCCAAAGGTTAAGTAAAACAAACACATCCAAAGAACACAGTAAAATTAATGTACAGTAAAAAGGTTTTAATCAGACAAATGTCTTCAGTTCCCTCGCAACACTTCGTTTCTGCTGACGCATTTGGTTGGTATTTTTTGGTGAAATTGCAAAGGTAGTCATTCTTTTGAAAGACAATCGATAGATATTTTGTCTTTGTTCACAGCGCGGCAAGTGTGCTGTAGCGTTTTCTCGCCCTCTTGAATAAAGTTTGTACACAGTTACTTTTACGCGTTCTTTGGTTGTTGCTATTGTAATTGAGAAGTTGATCTGTGTAGATAGGTTTCCGATGTATATTAGTCCCGAGTTTTTTTTGTATCGGTTCTGGTGACTAGTACATCTATGAATGATAGTTTGTTGTTTAACTCCTTTGTCATTGCAAATTTTGTCATCGAAGACCTCGTTATTCACTTATGATAAAGGAAACGTGTACGGACACAAACACAAACCATAAATTCAAGCAATGAGAGATACAATCAAGATATAAAAGTAAACAACGACAGGTTTAAGGTCAACAAAAACCAATGAACACCTAGGTCTACAGGACAAGCTGTGAGCTGTATGTGAAGGAATTCGAACACTTCACTTCTACCTGAAGTTTCCACTGATAATGTCATTCAAAAGAACGATGAAATGTCCACGATCAAACCATCCAGGTCGGAGTTTTTATCCCTAGAGTTTAAACAAATTTGTTTAAACTGACTGGTATTTATTTTTTTATTTTATCAAGCGTTAATTTCAAAGGAATAATTCATTTACGTAACATTACTACTGACATTTTATAAGCAACACAAACGTCAAGAACTTGTCCGTACATACAACTTATTTCAAAAAAGTCCACGAAGTTATAAAAGAGGATGAACATCATTCAAGTTTTAATCACGTGAAGTAGTGGAGGTAATAGTAATGGTATTGAATGTTGATATATATCTGGGATTTCTTCTTTTTTCAAAAGTTTTAACAAAGCATCAGCATATTCACCATAGTAAATTCGTTTCACATCATCCGACAGATATATTCCATATTTAGCTTTATACACCTTATCTATTGTATGCAAATCTATCTGAAATATAATAAAGTTAGAATCATAAATAAGACTTATACTTGTCATTAAAATGTAGTTGCAACAAAAATACAAGGCAAAATGCACTGCTGAAGAGTCCCATAATAGGACGAAATGGCCTTCCAGTGCTTGCAGGTTTTCATGATGGTGTAGCTTCAATTGACTCATGATTTCAGCGATGAAAATACTGAAATCGCCACAAAACTCCTTCCGAACCAAAAACGTAGATAAACGGTAATTTATAACCATTCTCAATAAAATAACCAGTATTAGGTACAAAACGTAATCCAACCTTTATTTCAAATGATATATATCGGAATAAATTGAAGGATTCGCTCGGAGGTTTGAACGTACAAAACGGTACTTACAAGCCAATAATAATGTATCTACCCTATCAATGTTAAAATTAACCCTGAACATGGAATGTTAGTTCAATCTTTACACAGATACAGTTATCTAATAGAAATTGCATGAAAACTGTAAATCCATTGAAATTGTCGATGAATATCTGTTAGATGGTTTATTCGTTCCATAGAAGTAAAAAATGTAGAATATTGGAGCCCATGTGCACCATTGGTTTGGAATCAGGGTTTTCCAACTCCCCCTAGGTGGACTTTCCGTGTCCACCAACTCGGTTAAAGCGCCGGCCGTTCGCTGTTCGTCCTCTCCATTTCGTGAACAACACCCGTGTTGTGAGAAGGCAGTGAGTAGGACTTCGCTGACAGAGGCTATATACGCGTGGCCATGTGAGAGCATTTCGAAAAGGGGGAGCGGACTCTCACCACTCTTGGCCGTACCAGGGCATTTGGAGGCTTTTATACCTTCGTTTGAGTGTATGGATTCTAATATATTATCGTTTCGTTCCACCAGAAGATATACAAAAACTAATATAAGAATGTAATGGATGAATAGTAGCTGATTAGATAACACCTGACAGGAGTTTGCATGATTTTAAATATTTATTTAGAACTATAATAATAACCTCAAAAGATTTATTACACACCCTGAAAGCTGCCTTCAGCAGTTTGCACAATAAATAAAAACCTTTTTTCAAAAGGAAAGAATAATGAAGAATATTAAAGAATTATAAGTAGTATACGAAAACCTACAAATCGTAAAACTAAATGTCCACTAATGTGAAAAACACGTAGCTCGTTTGTATAGTAAGTCACACGGAAAATTTTCATCGATAACAGTAAAACATGAGAAGACCAAGAGAGATAAGACGGGATCATTGCACCAAGATAAAAGACCTTCGACGGTTTTTGTACACGATCTGGAATAGTACAACTTTTATCGGATTACAATAGTTTGTTTATGTTTTGTTCTGGTTTTAGGAATAAATTGTTACTTTGACATTTAGAAAAATTAGCTGTCAGACTATTTGGAAAAGAACATCATCTAAGGGAAACTCATTCATTACTAAATAACCTAAAGAGACTGAAATTGGTTCACATACAGTGAGATCAACCATAAAACTAATAAAACTGTTCTCTATAACTAGTATGTCATGCAGAATAAAAACATGAAAACGTTAAGAAGAAAATCAGTTCCTTCTAGCAGATTTTATCTATTGAATAAAAACACTTTCCACTGAACATAGAATAATGTTTTTTTCCAGTGAAATAAAAACATAGTCAACCAGTTAACCAGCTATCCTTATTGAGGTGACCCACCTTGAAAGTCAAATCAAGAGATATCGTATAGAAACGAGCATGGAACATACTTCATACGCTTTTCCAAACCGAACATCATATTATGATACAAAACAACAGCAGTATTCAGGGTAGGTATTTTTTATTTGTAAATAATTTAATATGGATGGGTATAACTCTTTTATTACTGGCTTAAGCATTGGTACAAATGGTGTTCCGATAGTCTTGAGAAAAATTAAATCTATTGCTATTTCAAGCAGAGATGAAATGTGGCTAGTAGTGGAACTCACAATTCGCGATCCATTCTGTTTAAAACTTGTCAGCTGGATGTACCTGCATCTCAGATTTGATGTTCACTTTAGTGCAATATCAAGACAATCCGTATAGAATGCACACATACCAATAAGAGGCTGATCGATTGCAGTCTCAAACGTGAATGAGAACATTCAAACAACCAAGACAAAAATGAGTTACTGCTATTGTCTCAATTTAGCCTTTTCACCTCTAAATACTTTCTTTGCTATCGGAATTATCTTTATCTTTCTTCACATTTTTGGCATAAAAAGATTCGTTGAAACTGCTGTTGTATTGATCGTACAGAATGTCAGCGCACTTCTTAAGAAAGAGGTTAGGAATTTCTTCAGGTCATAAACATTGAGACACCTTAAGAGACTGTATTCTTTTTTAGTCCTCAATTTCAGTACAATTTGAGATACAACTCTTCTTAAAACTTGCGGGTACGAAAGCATGAAATTGGAGGGTAGGCTTATAAAAATTTTATTCAAGTTCCAAAATTTTCAACTAAACATCGACATTATCGTATTTCCCACCTAACTGAAAAATTTCTACGAGATAAGAGTTTCTTAGTAGACACTGGATTCAGGTGTTTTATTTCTTGGTTCGTCAGACCATTTGGCTTTTCAACTTCAGCGGATTTTCCCTATTTGTAAATTGTTTCTTTTTACTATGACGTCTGCTTAATTGCAGGAATGTTTGTTGGTCAAAACGTTCTACAATAGTCTCAGTATAAAAGTAAATGTCAAAGCAGAATTTAGAATAAGTGTTAACATTAATTGTGTTTTCGAATAAATTATTTGTGAGAGAGGACAAACCAGCTTCTAACTGAAGAGGAAATTAGGAAAAGACGTTCGAAGTGGATCGGACACACATTACAGAAATCATCAATGTACATTACAAGGCAATCCCTTACTTGGAATCCGGAAGGGAAGCGGGAAAGAGAAAGGCCGAAGAACACATTACGTCGGGAAATAGAAGCAGATATGAAAAGGATGAATAATAACTGGAAAGAACTGGAAAGGAAGGCTCAGGACAGAGTTGGATGGACAATGCTGGTGAGCGGCCTAAGCTCTTCGACGAGGGGTAACAGGCGTACGTAAGTAAGTAAGTAAGTAAGTAAGAAATCTCAGTTTGACGTACGTAGTATATTTTTCAGATCTTGGACATTTTATTTTGAGTAATTCCTGTATTGAACTTCCTCTATTTGATGTTTTAGTATTCTCTTTCTAAGCTTGCCATATACATGGTGTAGATTTAGAATAACAATGATCAATAATAAGCGATGGAGCACATTTAATGTCACAAATATTCCTACATCAATAATGAAATTTTAACTCTGATGAGGATTAATCAAGAAAATGAGTCACATTTTGATTAGACATTAATGATAGAAAGTTATATTCCTATATATTTAGATTGCCACGTGTAGTTTCAAGTAAACCATTAGAGGCAGTAACAACGAAGGAGTGTTTCATAAAGGAAAACAGTAAGTGCATATGGTATGCAGTCCAGAGTCACATAACTATCGATAAAATAAACATAGTTGTATTTATTCAAGTGTGTTACACACTTGAGACTGTTGTCTAAGAACTTAAAACATACAGATTTTGATTAACACTATTTGCAAATTAGGCTAAACTGACGCCGTACGTTTTCTTATTGCTTGATCGCTACTGATGACAAACATATGAGACATGTGGCAATACTGTAGTTAATGAGAACACGGGCGAAGATAATCGAATGTATTTAAGCACAAATTATAGACTGTCTCACAAAAATCTGATAACCATCCAGTTGACAGTTAACTTGCAAAATAACAATCAATTGTCTCAATCTTGACTGTTCCTTCTGCAAATATCAGTCATTCATGCATTTTCATACTGATTGTGCTTCGTTCCTATTCTTTTGTAATCGAGCAAAATACATTCTATGCCTGACTTACACCATATACTACTTATGTGAAAATAAGTAACCACACCACAATACTAAATAATCGTCATATAAGTCATTCAATTATGATTCTGGAATTATGTTTGAACCACATATACGTTACATGTTTGCATTTAGTATTGATTTAAGATAGTCCTCTATACCATTTAGTGATTGGAATTTGAAAAATAACAGTTTGAGAATCGATACTTGATTAACTGTTATTCTCTTCAACGCATATTCCCAACGTTCCCGAAGTCTCGGATTGCAATTTTTAACATCGTTAAGTGATTTGACGGTAACTTGACTGAAAAGGTCGTGCAAAGAATCCTCATAAATGATATTTAAATACAAAAGGAGATAACTTGTCGAAATATTTAGATGGTAGGAGAAATAATCAGTTCAAAGGTTTAAGTAACTCGCCAAGTTCGAAATCTGTGTTATCTCATTTGTTAACGTTCTAGAATATCGAATTTGTCAGTGGACAAAAATTATTCACCAGCTTGGAACAATATATTGATCATATGAATCTCATCATTTGAAATGATTAGTGATATGTAAACAGGTTGAAAACTGGAATCACTTAGCTTCTGTATTGAGACCATGTAAAAAAGATAAACCGGCGAGACTAAACTATACTGCCGACCTTTGAACGAATCTTAAATGACCTTGAGAAATATTTGCCAATCAGAAGACAGTTAGTATACAGTGAAATAAATAATACAAAACTCAAAAATTAAAGGAGATACTGTTCTTTTACATGACCCAAAAACTTCTCAAGGTCAGATATAGCTTCAAAAGTTCTAAAATCATAGTGCATACGGTACAAGAACACGTCCATATGGCTCCACAGTAGTTGACCTCTGAAACGATGATAAAGTCTCAAAAATTCTTTTAGCCTCGACCACATAGCTTCTATGCTGTTGGTATATTGGTATGGTTTACGGTTTAGGGTTTACGGTTAAGGGTGAGACTATAAGTTGTGGACAACCTTTGAGCGACGCTAGAGTGATCGTGAGAGTGTGCCAACATAATAACTAAAACCAAATGAGGGTATAAACCTGTGTGAAGAATTCTAATTATGATTTTACAGTTCACGGTTAAGGCTAGGAATCATACTTGGGGTTTTCATCACGAACTGACATCAGCTATAATGCCAAAACTCTATTTATCCAAATGGATAATTGAATTTAGCGCCAAAATCTTATGATCACTTCTCTTGTAGATGCTGAATTATCACGTCTTCCCTAAAATCCGGTGTAAACCGACCATAAACAAGCATCAGGTACCGAACTTAGCGCTGTGACCTTGAAAACCCGCGAAAGCTTCTGATTGGCTCGGCAGTATAGTTTAGTCTCACCGATAAAGCTCTTCTGTCAACAACGGAGACACAAAGGATTTATGCTGATCACAGTCTAAAAATAATTTATGATTGTTATTGATATCATGAACCGATCTGAGGTGACATCTACAGAAAACCAGATAGCATCACACATGTATTTCGCTCCAGTATGATACTGTAGTGTGGTCTACTTATATCCATATAAGTAGTATATGGTGATGGTCAGACATAGAATGTATTTTGGCAGAAGACCAAAAAGAAAAGAACCGAAATGAAGGGTGATTGGTAGGAAAATGCACGAACAATGGAATAAAAGAAGATGAACTGATATTTACAGAAGGAACAGTGAACATTGAGACAATTGGTTGTTAACTTGCAAATTAACTGTTTTGTTGTATGGTTATCAGAATTTAGTGAGATAGTCTGTAACGCTTGTCCTTCAATGCATTCGATTGTCCTCACTTGTGTTCTTGTTCAATACAATAATACTCAATAGTGTACATTCAAGAACCTACTCGGGTCCAAAAACAAAACCTCTGTTTTAAGGCATAAACATGAAGCCACGAAAACATGGATCTGAAATTCAATAGCTCAAATGAATCCGCTCACTAGGTATTCCCCTCTCTTTTTACCTTCTAGACTGTCGAATTCATTACAGCACAAATGATTATTCGTCAACCCCAGGAAAATGTGTTTACTATATGATTCACATGGTTTGGAAGACATGTGAATCTATGTAGATACAAATTATCAAGATTCGAATAGTTTTCTCACTTTTATACTTCCGTCCAAATAATATGGATAAATGTTAACATTGAAAATGTTTTACGTAGTCTGTATAAACTTACTTCAGAACGGAAAAGTAGGAAACGTTGAACACTCAGAATATCAATTAGTTCTTTATAAAGCTCATCATGAATTAATGTTGCAAATTACATTGGTTTGTTAATAGAATAATTATCCGAAATTAAATATACAAAGATAGAAGTTGTACTGAACTACACAACAGAACTCAATAAAACGTCAAGCCAACGATGAGTATAATTTGATAATTATGATACTAGATCAATCATCCTGTTTAAAATAAAAGTTCAGAAGGGGTTTTGTGGAGATTTCAGTATTTTCATAATTTAAATCATGAGTCAATTGAAGCTAGAGTGTGGGTTCGTGGATGCGCACTGCTGAGGAGTCTCACAATAGGACGAAACGGTCGTCCAGTGCTTTCAGGTTTTCCATGATGGTCTACCTTCAATTGACTCATGCTTTGAACTATGAAAATACTAAAATCTTTACAAAACCCCTTCTGAATATAAAATCTAATCAAATCGTTAATGTTGGAATGACTAATATATAAAGTGTTAACTTGGATCAGTTTATAAGTGAAATAAAATCGTAAGATAAATGATGATCAGAATATATGCATAGTTGACATGGGGTTGAGAGATAGAAATATGGGATTACAAATCAGAAATTACGTATTATATAGAATAATATGATAACTAAAATAACTCATAATGTCATTGAATAAGAAAAAGAGAATTCAGCGAAGAAAATTTTCTTTTCGATGAAATCAATTACTTAAGCTGTACATTCGTATATATAGTAATATGGAAAATATATGTCTATAGGAGGCTAAAAAAGATTGCATTACAAAATTGATTCGACAATAAATAACAAATGAGGTGACGTACTAATCAAGGGGTAAGGAAGAAAATAATTTATGGGTCAGATAATAGTTCAATTAACAGATATGAAGAAGAGCGACAAACACAAAGGTCATAATAATAATCTGAGTAATAATCAAGAAAACTTGTATAAAGTAATAATAATAATAACTGATTAGAGATTAAATGTAAAGTAGTAATTTAAAAAACAAAAAAAAACCCGATAATAATCAGATAAAAGTACAAAAAACCAAAAAACGTACCCAATGAGGGAATTAGGGCCAAGGAAGGGTAAGTGGTTGGACAAATCGTTTCTGCACGCAAAGTTCAGGCTTCAATTCATGGATTGCCAATGCCTCAGCAGTGCATAAAATATTGATTCGACCTCCCTTTGATCCGGTTCCTTTAACTCTATAGATTATTTTAAAAGACGTCTCTTTTGGAGCAATGTGTCCGCAATTGATCAAGTGCTCTTGTATCGAACTGGTTATCTTCTTACATTCCCCTTTTAGGAGCCAAGCTGGATAGTGTTCAGAGATACGTTTGGAAAGCGATCGCTTTGTGCGGCCTATATAACGTGCTCCACATGAGCAAGTAAATTTATAAATACACATCGATGTGGCCCAAAGCGAAAGCTTATCCTTAACACACCCCCGAATGGTAGGCCGGCTAGAGAAAACGATTCGGAATATATGAATTAGGTCAGATATAGTAGATAAGGGTGGATGCTGAATAAATTTCTCTAGAAAGGTTACCAAGTGTGATAATAATGGTAATGACAATGGTAAGATGTGTAGATAAAATAAGTGAACATTAATCAAATTACGTCACCATATTATTAACAAGTTGACCCTGAAGTTGGCCAGTGTAAAAGGAGTGGCTGGGCATATTTTCTGGGATTTAAAGCTCTGGCTTTTAGATCCGGATAGCAATCGCCTCAGACAACTGAGACAAGCTTGTAAAAACGAAGATTTCTTAGGTGTTGTTTTAAATATTAAGATTTATTTTCAACCACAAAATTGTTTACCATGATTTTAAGTAGATGAATAAAAATCAGGTAATTTTCGTGTTTTATTTATGCCAAGTAAATTATGTATTTCATGTCGACACTATACAAGACACGTCAGGAAGCATATCCCTCACCTGATCAAAAATAGGAAGTGGTGGTTGATTAGTACCTGACTATCCTGGCTATCTTAACCAATGGTTGGAGACTCTAGGTGATATGGCTCAGAATCAACCAAAATGGCGTATGTGTATACACTCTTTATCTTCCCTTAAACACTGAGATTAAAATTACTTCATATCTGTCTTTCTTCCTGTAATATATCCTTATATACAACCTATCTTTTATATTTTACCACCACTAAATTAACTACTTCTATGAATTCAGTGTTCATGTTGTTGTGCTAACGAGGTATGACAAGTTGGACCGATGCATAAATGTGCCTGGTCCTACGTTGCAGATGACCGACTAATGAAATGGAGCTTTTATTATACTGGATCATTTACATAATAACAGAAACTTACCAAAAAAACATTGTTTTTTTAATAGAGCTTTGTTCACTGAGCTGGATCGTTTGGTCATGAGCTATCATCAAAATCATCCACCTTAGCTACAAAGCTTCTCCACCATTGTGTTTTTATTTTCATCGAAAATCTCATCAGCGAATCCATAGTTTATGTATTTTGATTAATTCTTACGTGATTTTTATAACAGTAGATACATATTTTTCGGGTTACTGTGTTTTCTTAGAGAGTTAGTTTTCTATGGGATGGGGTCGCTAACCCTATACTCAACCGTTTTCTTTATCTGAAACTAGCAGTAGCTCCAGAGGAACTCCACGTGGAGTTATGCATATATATCACTATATAGTATAACTGTTAAACATGTTAACAATTACCTATTAACAAATTATTTGGATGAGGTGAATATTCATGGATTATGCTGTAGTTATTCAGGAGGTATTTTCTTAAGCATTCAAAATGAGGTAAATGATATATACGCTGAAAATGAGATCCATTCAATAAAAATTCTTATATTTACACGATAAAGAAAATTATACTACATTGATAGTACTTACACATTGCTACTAAAATATTATGGAGTTGACCAGACGTCCTACTTTCAAGAACTTCACCAAATTGTCTAACGGGTTTCTTCGAAACAACATTTGGATAGGAAGAAACAAATAAACAAAGAAAAATCAATACATCAGAAAAGATTCAAAGATAAAGGATCGTTCTCGCAAGATGGTCATACTTACTTACTTACTTACACCTGTTACTCCCGATGGAGCATAGGCCGCCGACCAGCATTCTTCAACACACTCTGTCCTGAGTCTTATTTTCTAGTTCCATTCATTTTTCTCATGTCTGTCTTCAATGTGTTCTTTGGTCTCCCTCTTCTCCTCTGGCCCTCAGGATTCCATGTGAGGGCTTGTCTCGTGAGGCAATTGGGTGATTGCCTCAAAGTGTACCCACTGGAATCTGGTTTGTTGTCTCCCACAGTGGAATGCTGCTGATAGTGTCTGATCAACGGATCCGAAGTATCTTACGTAGACAACTTTTAGTAAACACCTGTATCTTCTGGATGATGACCTTCGTAGTTCCCTAAGTTTCCGCCCTATACAGTAGAACCGTCATGAAATTTGTTTTGAAAATTCTGTTTTTGGTGTTGTTAGACAATTTTTTGAGTTCCAGATGTTTTTCAGTTGTAAATATGCTGCTCTTGCTTTGCCGATCCTCGCAATCACATCTGCATCAGATCCACCGTATTCATCAATGATGCTGCACAGATATGTAAAGGTTTCCACTTCCTCCAAAGCTTCTCCGTCAAGTATAATTTGATTGATGCATGTTGTATTGTATCGGAGAGTCTTGCTTTTCTCTTTGTTTATATTGAGACCTACTGTTGCTGAGGCTGCTGCTACACTGGTCGTTTTCTCCTGCATTTGTTGTTGCATTTGTGATAGAAGAGCCAGATCATCCGCGAAGTCTAAATCGTCCAGCTGCTTCCTACCTGTCCACCGTATCCCGTGCTTTCCTCCATATGTTGACGTCTTTATAATCCAGTCGATCACCAGGAGAAAGAGAAAGGGTGAGATTAAGCAACCTTGCCTAACACCGGTCTTTACCTCGACTGAGTCGGCAAGTTGTCCTCCATGGACGATTTGACAGTTTAATCCATCATAGGAGTTCTGTATGATATTGACTATCTTCTCAGGCACGCCGTAGTGTCGAAGAAGCCTCCATAGTAATGTCAATATGGTAATACTTTGAAATAACTATGAGGTTAAGAAAATGACATTTATAAAACTGCATGTGTTAACTAATCAATAAATCAACTTTATAGTATCAATTGACAGACATACTCGTTTATAAATCATGTTCATTCTTTGAAATTTAAATGGATCAAGTTTACATAGACGTTGACCAAGTTGCTGTCCTACATGTTTGCTGAAATCAAAAATAAAATTCATAAACAACGTTGTTAACAGGATTAGTTACAAGAGGTTGACAAAAAATTAAATATGATGAGAGGATTCAATGTTTTGACAAACAACAGGCTGACATATGAAGTTTCTGAACAAATTCGGATTTTGATTGAGATCGTGAACCGGTCGATATTAAACCACAATTAAAAACTTGGAAGCACTGAACCGCTGTCTCGTTCTAATTTGAGACTCTACAGCACTGCGCATCTAAGATCCCGCAAGCGGAATCCAACATCAATCAGTTCATGATCTTAATTACAAACATAATAATACTCACAAACCAATACTGAAATTTCGATATATTAGACATAGTTTCTATTAGTCACAAAAACGATTATCATTATTTGTTTAAACACATAAGTATTGGTACAAGGAAGCGCCAGATACATATGCGCCACAAAATTCTCATTTGATTTATGTGAGGGATGTGATGCTGCCCAGGTGCTCAAACCGAAGAATGTGGTTTTATTAGAGGCTCACACTCGCAGCCTTAGACCTAAAGGTCTGATCCACAAGGCAGTGGAGGATCGAGGGGAGATGCGGTCCCATGGTAGTTGGTGATCAACAACTGGTTCATATATCATTTGTTCCCTCAGGATACTGAAGCCAGCCTATGTGCACCATCGGTTTGAAATCAGGGTTTATCGACTCCCGTAGGTGGACTTTCCATGTCCACCAACCCGGTTAAAGCTCCTGTCGGAGATTCGCTTTTCGTTCTCTCAATTTCGTTAACAGAACCTCAGTGGC